TCACGATACACGGATCAAGTGGCGCTCATGAGAGTTCATCGTCTTTCGATGAGGCGATGTTGTTCGTAATCGGTGAGCATGAGCCGCCTCTATGGTGGGATAGTTGCAGAGCTCTGATTATCGCTGCAGTTCGAACAATGACTTTTTTGTCGTACTGTTTTCTTCCGTAACAAACACACCCTCACAGTGCATGCCAGCGTGAGGTCATTCGATTAATGTCAGTGCACGATGAGTCAGAGGGCATGGGTTCAAGACAGTTGCCGCCGTTGTGCGTGTGTGTGTGTGTCCCCGTTTGTCTCTTTCATTCGTCCGTCTACAATGGGCCCCTTTTTGATGCGAGCCTTAAACATCACCCAGAGCAAGCAGCACGAATCGTTTGTACGCAGTGCGCTTTGTTCACTCCACTGCTAGATGATGGCCTCGCTGCGCAAGTGTGTCGTGGTGGGGGGGGGGATGTATTTGACCATACAGTGGTACCTCGGTATACGTCGTTAATTCGTTCCAGAAGGTAGGACTTATACCGAAAATGACGTATACCAAACGAATTTTTTCCGTAAGAAATTAAGGGAAAGGAAATAATCCGTTGCGGAGTATAAGAAATGATATTTTATATGGCATATTATACATTAATGGGGTTGTATAAAATAATTTAGACACTACTTATTACTAAAATGCATGAATAAATTTAAATAAATGCATACATAAAATAAATGCATAAATAAATTAAAATAAATGCATAAGTAAATTTAAATAAATTGAAATAAAAATAAAATGTAACTTCACTTTACCTTGCTGAGAGGAGTTGATAGCCTACGAGGATGGCGGTGAGGAAGGGAAGGAGGAGGAGATGTTATTTTTTGGAAGGAGAGTCACCCTCCATTAACACTTCAGGAAGCTTAAATTCTGGGGTATTTTCTCTTTTCTGTCTTTTTTCTTGACTTGGAACTGGTTGAGGCTCACCAGGTTTGAGTTTTACTAAAAACCTGTCCGTTGAAGTTTGTTTTTGCCTTCTTCTAAGAATGTTCCTGAAGTGTGACATTGTCTGGTCATTCCACACAATACTGTTACGGCTTGTTAGAGCCGTAACAGTATTGTGTACGCGGGTACTGTACGCGGTGGCTCATCCCGACCCATACAAGTTCTAGCAAGCGCGTCGTATCCCAAGCAAGACGTCGTATCCCGAGACGTTTTTTCTCTAGTTAAAACACAACGTATACCAAATTCGACGTATTTTAAAGCGGTCGTATACCGAGGTATGACTGTACTTGCACTGCGTGAGTCGGTGCGGCCTCGTGAAACATAGGCGTGGGAGCACGGTGGCAAGATGTGAACTACCTCGCCTGGTATATAGGAGGTCTTGGGTTCGATCCCGACCCTGACGCCTGCTGTATATTTGTAGTTTGCGTGTGTCTCTCCCCGTCGTCGCGTGTAATTTTTCTCCGGGTCCTGCGTTTTTTTTCCCCTCCACGTTTAGAAACGTGCATTTAGAGTGTTTGGCTGCTATACATTTCCACGTGATAAGTCACTTCGTTGAGCTATTATTTGTGGCCAGGTCGTTTCTACAAAAGAGTTTATGTAGCTCAGAGGGCCTTACCTGGTCGACTAAGATTGGCTTTTTTAGCATTACAGGAGAGCAATGGATGTTGCTGCACTCCCCTCTGCTGCCTATCAAGTCGTCCCTCACTCACTTGCCGAGTCGTTTGACGTGACTTTTGTATGTAGCTGTGTATTAGAATCTGAATATTTATTTATGCTGGAGGAATCCGATGAACTATAAAGCTCTTTTTCATAGATGTCCAGGAGTTTCACTTATCCGAAGTAAACCGGAGAAATTGAATAAATGTAAAGTATGACGGTGACATTATTTCTCTTTAACATATATACCACGACACAAACATCTTTTCTAAGCGTCTCTTTGAAAAAAAAAAAAATCTCGTAACGTTTATACGCCTACGCCAACAAACATTCTGCGTTGAGCCACCCGCGGTCTGTCTTGTCTTCATCTCTACGTGCGATCTCTGCTCTGAAGGCTATAACGACAGCGTCTCTGCGGTCGTTTGCCGGCTCCGCGTCAACAAGTAACGACGCACGCGTGCCGCCGCGTACTCGGGCGGCGAGCCTCGATCTCGCCGGGCGCACCCTTCACCCTCGCTCCTATTTCCTTGTATCGTCTCGCGCCAAAGGGCAGTGCAAAGGGCACACTCTCACCCCTCTCCTGAACCTGGTTTGCACGCGACCCAATCGCCACCATTAAGGATGCCATCCGGTCCTGAGCAAAGTCGCGCGATTTTGAGAGAGCCGTTTTGGTTTGCGTAACTGATCGCCGAGGTGAAGTTACGTGTGTGCTCTACGTTGAACTTCATTCGCAACCCGCGTGGCCGGCTGTGCTAATCGGAGGTGCGGGAGACGAAGGCACGCAAAGACGTGCCTTCAGAAGTTGCCCTCTGCATTCTTCGGATTTTCCTTTACGTGATGATGTTCAGCGCGTTCCTTTCTTGCCGTATAATATTTATCGTTACCATATTTGTGAAATCTTCTTGCCCATGTTATTTATTTCCTCTGTCCTGTGGCTCTACGTAAAAAGAATAATCCATTGTCGATTGGTTAAGACCTAGCTTTTCAACATTCTGCAGTGAGCCATTAATGCTCTGTCTTGTTTGACAAGAGGTTTTTCATGTGGGTGCTGATCTCGCGGTCTGAGATCTGTTGAGGTCATCCTGAGATCGAATCTGGATTTTAGCTACCTGTAGTTAAACCAGGTTCTCAAGTTTAGAGACTTCATGGTCCAAAGTAATTTTATCTAAACTTTTTTACGTATCATATTTAGATCTAGCCAAATTTTCGCCGAGAATTTAACAACATTGGTTGCGGATATTCCACGCGGCGAGCATGTATCTCTGCAGCAGGGGCGGGTGGGAAAGTGCAGCACCATAAGTGTAGATAAGAGGTCACATCAAGGGCTCTCAGAAGCTGTTCTCTGATATCTCCTTCCACGGGTCGTTCTCTGGCGCAGGATGAAGCGCTGCACGACAAGAGTTCAGAGCGTAGTCTTCAGTGAGTGATATGGTGCTGATTGCATGATCGTAACGACAATGGGGAAACAAGATGAAAAGTGAAAGTTGTTTTGGTTCATTTTTGTAGAAACCAAGGCGTGTTTTAACAGTACGAGACGACCAAGGCGGTTTTTGTTAATCCGACTTTGTCCCACGTAAAAGCTACAAAATAGTAATGAAATAAGAATAGTAACCATAACTCTGCATCCAGCTTTGTAGCTTTTGTTGTTAACCCTGTAACACCATGCTGTATACTTACGTGAATAACTGACAGAGCCCTATAAAACAGAGGGTCCTTAAAATAAGCCTTGGTAGAAACCTGCCCAGGCGTCTCGGCGCCAGAATTATTGGCCAGACAAGATTGAAAGGTTGCGAGTTAATGCTCTGCTTGGGGGGGTTGCCCAAGATCATCATCCTTGCACAATCCGTAAAATTATTATCAATTGGTGGTGAAGTCCAAAGTAGTTGCCCTGACGAGAGATTCGCTCTCTCGATTGCCATGGTGGAATTTCGACCGTAAAAAAAACAACCGTTTTATTTTATGCCACCAGGTAAGGGCCACTGAGCTATATAGCTCTTTTTCAGACGCGGCTCGGCTGTCAAAAAATTATAGCTCAAAGAAAGTGGCCTTTCACGTGTGAATTTATAGCAGCCAAATGAACAACGGGAGGACCCGGAGAAAAATCCACGCGACCACAGGGAGAGAGACACGCGGACTCTAAATATACAGCAGGCGTCAGAGTCGGGATCGAACCCACGACCTCCTGCATACCAGGCGAGGTAGTTGAACATCACCCCACTGCGGCGCCCTGACTCACGGCTGCAAGGAGGGCTTGAGCAACACCCTGAATGCTCATCTGAGCAAGCAATAACTGACTTTTTTGAGGAACTGTGTTCTTGATCAAGCTTGTTTTCATCTAACACAGGTCAATCCAGAATACTGAGAAAATACACGAACAGAGAATCCGCTGCCCTTGTAGTTGGACATCGTTTATTCGAGAATAATTTATTGCGTTTCAGCAGAATGCCTCAGTCGGTATATTCGTGCGGCCGTGTTCACATCTGGAAAGAGTAGAACGGTGTTGTGATGGTAGAAGTGGGTGGTTGGGTTCATGCCAAGTTCTAGGTTGTGAGTAATAAAACTACACAGAACAACATGCCAAACATTGTGGTTCAAAGCCCTTGACTGTAATTCATTGCGTTGCATTAATTATTAAGCGATGTGTGTTTAAAGTTTTCGTATCAAGCCGGTTCTTTATAATACCCTGTATTTATTCCACAGGCTCGGTGAGTCTCAAGGCTTTCTTGTTTTCAGGAAGATCCCACATTGGAATTTTTGGCCAGTTACATTAATGGCTGTTTGGCTTAATCTGGGAGGTAACTAGAATAATCGGGGGGGAAACCCCATTACTCTTAAGAAGGCATAACGCTCAAAGCTCTGCACAGACGGGTTCAATATATAATCAGTTTGATGTAATGTCATCTAGTGGTCGCTTACACGGCATTATATCGGGAGTCTTTACTTTCACAAACCTGTGTGATTCACCGCCCCTTGTCTCAATTGTTAGATTCCAGGCTTGCACCGCTCTGCTGCCTGTGATGGTGCAGTAGTTTTACACGCGGCATATACAGAGCAACGTTTCGATGCGGCGGTCATGCATCGCTTAGTGTACTGCGTTTTTCGAACCTGGCAACCCGAGTTCGATTCCCGGCCGCTGGCTAACGTGAATCGGTCCTGGGCCTCTGCCGAGGTCAACTCTGCTTCGAATGAGTACCTGGTTCTGTGTGTAAACGTCGGCACTCGGGAGACAAAGTTGGCCGGGGCATGCTGCCGACCACACCGCCTTGTGGGCTGTGACGACCTTAACCGCTCATGGTACTACTGGCCCCCTCGCAGTCCGTTGAAGGCCGTATGAAAGATCCGTGTTGTTGCTGTGCATGCGGCAGTTCCCAGAGTGCGGCTTCTTCGGGATGTACGACAAGATCCTTCTCTTCCGACACAACCTGCAGTCGGACAACATCCTGCAGCTGCTCACGCCGAGCGACAGCGTACAGGAAGGCGACCTTATCGAGGTGGTCTTATCAGGTGTGTGTGTGCGCGCGTGCCGGTCTCACCTCTCTGTTCACACACAAAGACAAAGAAGAGTTCCGCCCCCCCATAGCCATTCAGACCGTTGGGAAGAGTGATGATCGCGTGCACTTGTTAAGACATGCACGCGTACACACCCACGATAACAAGGCCAATCGCAACATCAGTGTGGCTCCATATGTCTTGACCGTGAGGTCCAGCTCAAGAAAAGATGCGGGGAAACAAACTGGTTTGAAGGAATATTTACATGAGGCAGAGTCAAAGAAGAGCTGGACTACACACACACACACAAATGCATTCTATAAATCTTCTTGGTTCTTTCGGTAATTATTTTATTATTTCCCTTCTACGTGACTTTACCGAAAGATCCAAGAAGATGAATCCCTGCAGTCAAGAAAGCTTTAACTCAGCATTCTATATAACCGTACAGACCGTGGGGCAGGTGCTGTAATCGAGCACCTATTAAGGCTGGTAGAGTGCATGGAGGCAGTTTTTGTACAACGAACCAGGTACACATGAAGACTAAGTCTACCTACGGGGTAGGCCCACCACCGGGTAGGATAATTTCCACTGATGTTAGACGTGCCGGCGGGTTGATAATATAATACATTGCGCTAACCGCTGTGGCATGCGTGTATGCAACATATATTATTATAAAAAAACTAGAACCATTGATCAATTTTAAAATAATGTTTTCTCGTGCGCACGACTCCATACGTGTACCATGAGCATCTCATTTTAACCGACGGTTCGTCACGTCGCGACTTAATAATATCGCTCGACTCGTCCTGGAGTTATTTGGCGACCTTGAATTTTGACCCGAGCTAAGCGTGACGCATCAGGTGACGCCGCTTGCGGTTGTTTTTGCGCGACCCCTTCCCCCCCCCCCCCCCCCCCCTCGTTTCTGTCCCAGCCTCGGCGACACTTGAAGACATCCAGATCCGGCCGCACGCTCTCTTCGTGCACTCGTACAAGTCGCCCACGTTCTGCGACTACTGCGGCGAGATGCTGTGGGGCCTCGTGCGGCAGGGCCTCAAGTGCGAAGGTGACTCACGGCCCGTTTCGACTAGGAGGCTTCGGTCGCTTCGCCGGCCGTCTCACAGGGCCGCGACAGAGTTGGGGGCAGCGGACGGTTACGGAGAATGGCCGTTGGAACGGTCCTCGCGAGTCCGGCGACCGAAGGGAAAGACCCTGAGAACGCATGGTGCCGTTGGAGCAGACCCTTGGAGGTCGCGTGTCTTACTGTGTGACAGCTGCGGAAGGATCTGGTGTCGGGGTAGAAAGCCTTGGTGAGGTGTGGTGGCATCAACGGTTTCGGCCATCGTGACATCTTGATCTTTGATCTTAAAAGTCTGAGAGCACTTACCAATGACATCTGGCGGAATGGCAGTATTTTTTGTCAAGCAAGTATTTATTTTGCTGATTGACCCATGTAAGGTTGAAACCTGTTTCGAGAAAAGCTCCGCACAGATCATTTCCATCTGTTGGCCACAATGCAGCCTTGGCCTGCAGGACCTAGTATTTTCTGGCAGTCTTCCATCCAAGTATTTATCAGACTTAACGCAGCTTAGCTTCTCAATTCTGACAAGATCTTATGCATTTTGCAGTGATTTGGTTGCAGGCAATGTAATGCATTTTAACCCCTGTACGTAAGTGTGTACATCCGTGTTTGTGTCATTATTTCAGTTTTGCCCATATTGACAACCGCTTTGCCCGCAGGCTGTGGTCTCAACTACCACAAACGCTGCGCCTTCAAGATCCCAAACAACTGCAGCGGCGTTCGCAAGCGACACCCATCCAACATCTCGCCGAGCCGAGAGGACATCTGCCCGGTAAGCCGATACGCGGTGTGAGTCGATGTCTGTGGTAATGAAGAGCCCGCTGGTTTATCCTGCCAATCGTCAACATCCGAGCGTACAAAAGAAAGTTTCGAATTGTTGAACATTCCCCACTGTGACGCATGGATTCGAAACACGGTGAAATGGAACACAAGCTGACAAATGCAGGTTACAGATATTGTATTGATTCCGGCAGGACATGTCACTAGAAGGGATGATAATAATAGTAGGATGTGTTTCAGTAATGACCCACAAACCCCGCTGCTTAGGTGTTTTCATGGGAAATTTGTTGGATTTGGTTTTATTTATCCGTCCGGGGCTGAGTATAGAGCAGCGAGTCCGAAGTTAACTTTTCTTCAAGAGAGTGGACGTGTATTAGCGTGGCGTGCGCAAGCGTCTATCTAAGTTCACGCCATGCTGCTTACGTTTTATACCGCGTACTTTGGAACCGGATTAAATTTGCGGCAGATTTTGTTTTGATTCGATTTATATTAATACATATTTTTTTATCATCTTGTTCCAACCAACGTCGCTTTCGGCTGGTTCATAATCTATGCCGGTTGAAGTTGCCACAGTTGGAGCCGAGTTTATTTTAAACACCCCTTTTTTTTGTTTCGGCTTCTGCGACTTGACACGCCGTCAGCCGGTCGGCCCGCTGTCGTCTTTCACTCCGCTCCGTCTTCACGCCGGATCCGCATGGGTCTCCTGTTCCTCCCGCTCTCTGTGCTGCCTCTCAGCTGTGTCTGCCCCCCACCCCCCGTGTTGTCGCCTGCCCCGCCTCACCTCGCTGCCCTCCTGCCCTCTAGTCTTGCACTCTGCCTGCGGGGCTTCCTGCCCTTCCCTCTGCCTCGCTGATCTCGCCAAGGTAATCGCGACCCTTTTACCCCCCACACTAACACTCGCTTGCCTTCGCGAGAAGGCGCCGACCACCGTCGCATCGAGAGGGCGAGCTGCTTTTTAAACGGCACGATACCCTGTGGAGGTGTACAGTGGTTCGTGCAAGATAGGATTTAGACCACGGGGTTAGAATTCTACCTGTTATTTGAACACTAGGGTACAACTTAAATTATAAGCAGTATGACTTCACCCATGGAAGAATGATCTCGATTAGCAAGGTTGGCTACGTACAGTGCGTAAGAAAATAAGTTGAGACATCACCCCCCCTGCTGTCAGACTACTATTTATCCAGGTTTAAGCCCTGCTTAGCTATCGAGATCGGATGATCTTGGGAGTATTCTGGGTGATTTGGTCACGGGTTTTTCCTGTATGTATGATTTTAAACGTGTTCAGTATAGGTGGCCACATTGAATATGTGTTGCCTAGGATCACGTGTTCAGTTTATAAAAAATCTAAACGCAGGAATTTATCATGCCATACTTTTGATTGTTTAACCTAAACTCTGTTGACCTCAAGCTGTTCTGATTACCGTCTCATCCTTTTCCTATGAGGACCTTTCGAAAGGAAATCGTTTACTTGTCATTTATTTACAATACAAAGCTTCACCCTAATTAGGAAAAAATAAGAATAGGTTTTACACTTTCGAAACTGAGATTAGGCCCTAAGCAAGGCTGTTTCTGGTGTGGGCCAGTCAGATATATTATCTGAGCGTGTTTTTGTTTGCATGTTCACCACGAGTACTGTGTGTGGTCAATGCGGACATGATTCCTTGAAAATTGTTTTTATTTGGTCTTTGAACACACCTGTTTTATTTCCAGAAAGGGTAAAACTTATTCCTATTTTTGCATCCTTCGAAACTGGCAAAAAAAGGTCTTCACCTTCAGTCCAGGACTGTCCTGCATTAGGATATTTGGCAGAATTCTGCCTCTTCAGTTAGATTCGTTTATTTTAAGTACATCTATGTTACAAATGCAATACGCTTGTATTACATAAACGTAAGTGCAGCTTTCCCTCGCTTTATGCGGTAGATGCATTCCAAGAAAAGGGCGCACAAAGCGAAACTGAACGAGACCTCTGTCTGTCGAGTGGCACACACAGTACACATTGAACGCACAGTACACGCGCAGTATACACACAGTACACACACACAATGTTGTCCCACATCCGACCGAATAGCGCTCATCTGAGTGAATTCAAACTGCATCGCAAAGCGAATTTTGGGTAGAATAGGTTCGACGCATACACGTGGATTCGCACAAACCGAACCCACATGAATCTAGAGAAACGTGTACACATGAGTACAATATATGAGTACTGTGCATGTGACAAATACAGGAGTGTGTGTAGTCGAAAGTGATCCGTGACATAGCAGATGAGATTGCTGTGCCAAGCGGAGTGACGGTTTAAAATTCGCGGGAACAGTCGCGCTAGGCGAGCGATGAGCAGGGGCGACTGACCGGCTGCCACCGCCGGGGGGAGCGCATGGCAGAGGTCGCAACCGGGTGCCCGATACCCGTACTCTACCCGATACCCGGCTACCCGTACCCGGCTGGGTACGGGTACGGGTACCCGTTTGCGACCCTGGTGCGGCCGGGTACGGGTAGGCCGTGAGTCACTGGTGAGTAACCGTTTGTCACTCATTTCGGGTAGGGTACGGATACGGGTAGGGAACGGGTACCCGTACCCGGCCGGGTACGGGTACGGGTACCCAATTGCGACCCTGGTGCGGCTGGGTACGGGTACGGGCAAGGAATCAAAACCCGTTTGCGACCTCTGGCACGTGGCCGGAGCGAGTCGTCGAGGGCCCTCGACGTCGCAACGCGCTGTAACAATGTCGACGGCGGGTGACGGGCGCAGAAGGCTGCTCCGGAATCTCCGTCGCCGCTGTGGGGGGGCAAGCGGCCCCCGTCGTGGAGTGGCCGCCCCGTGTGGGTGGACCGGGTGGTGGCCACCAAGGTGAAGGTGCCGCACACGTTCGAGGTGCACTCCTACACGCGCCCCACCGTCTGCCAGTCCTGCAAGCGGCTGCTCAAGGGCCTCTTTCGGCAGGGCGTACAATGCAAAGGTCAGAGAGGGGGCGCTGTGTCTGCTGTGATGTTGCTCTGGATCGTGAGTGTAATTCGTCTGCTCACTCGTTTGTTCGTTGCTTCCTTTTTTTAACAGCTTTTTTCTTTTGATCTCGAACCACGTTGCAGTCAATAACGACCGATTATAGCTTAACGGGTTCCTCCACTCTAAACAAATTTTGTGATTCTGATGCAAAGATGGTCCTGGATAATTAATTCACTTGTTGATTTGTTTTAATTCTATGTATAGCCTGGCTCATTGTTTTATCCTTCCCAACGTTGATTGACATTTAACAATCATAGATTTCGGTTGATATGTCAGAGTTCACACAAGTCGGTAACTGCACAGTTTTGACGAGGTCGCACGTGTGCTTGGTCGTGTGTGCGCGTTGACCCCATCGCCTGCAGATTGCAAATTCAACTGTCACAAGCGGTGTGTTGACAAAGTGCGCAACGACTGCCTTGGAGATGGGGAAGGGAACGGAGGTGAGGGTTCTATGTAGCGCCTGGTGGTTGTGGCTGAGTCGATGCCCTCGGGTGTGGGGATTGAACTGTGGTCCACACGTGTGTGTGTGAGTGTGTGTGAGTGCAAGAGAGAGCAGCATTGTAGCCGTCATCGCACTACGCTCAGAATCCAGCGTTCTGAGTTTGTTTTCGAGAAATTGTTAAAATCCGTGACAAGTGCTATCTAAACTGGTCGTGGGCCTCTCCTCATGTCATCTTCGCCTTACAAATGAGTACCTGGTGCGGTGTGAGATGGTGGCTCTGGCCACATTTGCCCCCCTCTCTTGTGCCGAGCAAGTCTTCGCGGACGCTCGCCAGTGGCACGTGCCCCACCGGTCTGTGTAGGCCATATAGGGATGGGGGGATTCTTTGTGTTGGCGCGTGTGCAGAGCCGTCGAGTCCGGATGTGGTGATGGAGGAGAGCGGCGACGACGACGGTAGTACAGGCGACGCCTCGGGCTCCTACCCCGAGGAGGACATGGACGACTCCTCGCTCTCGTCCGTGCCTGCTGCGCGCTTCCTGATCTCGGACGCCCACATGGCCGACATGGACGCAGACGGCGACGAAGACCTCATGAAACCCATTGCGTGAGCCGCCCGCTCGCTCACCCGCTCGCTCGCCCACCTACTCGTCCCACCTCTCAGTTTTGCAACAATTCACAGAAGCTACACTGTTTGTTGAAGACGCAAATCCAGCAAACGCAACGTGAATTATTCACGCTCCATACCAGGGACCTGTATATGTTGATGACATTACCGCTACATCTCTTCACCTGTCGCGCCCCCCTTACAGGCTGACCATCAGCAACAACATCCCGCTGATGCGCGTCTCTCAGAAATTCAAGCAAACGTCGTGGAAGAATAGCGCGGTGCTCCAGGAAGGATTGATGGTTCACTTCACCGACAAGGACAACATGGTGAGGCAGACCGGTGCTTGCCCTGTGGCGCATGACCCGCGGCCGTCCTGCCCCACCAGCCCCATCCCTTCGACCGTGCTTGCGTTGTTCGGTCTGAGCAGTGTTCATTTATTATAAGAGTTAAATCTGCCCCGAGAATTTAAGATCGTGCCTAAAATACCAGCCGAAACAAGCTGACAAATACAATGGAAAATTTGAAACTCCAATGCGTACTTGAGTTATATAGCTCATGGGCACGCGATGTTTTGATTACCCCCCAGAGGAGGCATGGGCTAAACGTTTGACTGCTTTAGAAGTTAAATTGATGGGTTGAATATGAGAGAATCACATTTTTAGATGTGTACCTTGGCTGTAAATCAGATTGCGTGTAGTTGCTAGGTGGATTTATTGCTTTTCAGGACTGTGAGAGGTGGTGGCAGCTTAGGGTGGCCTACAACCAGAAGTGGATTGATCATGGCTGATGATGAGTGCTGGGTGCGGCGCATGAACATCAGCACTGGGGAGATGAAGGCAGACGAATGTTGTGCTGGCCACACGACTCCACATGGGCTGTACCAGATTAAACAGGTGCTTGCTATCAGCTCTTGTTGCCAACAGACTGTTTGGATGTATGTGGGATCTTTGCGTTTCTGTGTGAATTGTCTGATATTGGTTCGGAGCGTGAATCGATCTCCAGTCGCCGGGTTTGTCGAGCAGTGTGCTAACCACTACACTACCGCTCAAACCGGTCCTGAGCCTCCCCGTAGGGCGACTCGACCTTAAATGAGTACCTGTTGCGGTGTTTAAACATCAGCATTGGGTAGGCAGACAGCCAGGCATGATGTTTGCCAACCACCCCCTCGTGTGCCGTGCCCGGCTTCACAGGTGCTCGCTAACAGCGCTTTCCCCAACAGTCTTTTATGGCCAATACGGGGAGGATCTTTGTCTTTGTGTAAATTGTTCTGATTTGTTGTTATTAATCTCCACAGAGGAAGAGGCACTTCTGGCGGCTGGACTGCAAGTGCATCACGCTCTTCCAGTCAGAATCTGGCAGCAAGTACTACAAGGTAGAGAGAGGGCAGCATATGGAAGGATGTTAACTCCTTTGCTCGGTATGCAGGGGGTCGTGGGTTCGATCCCGACCCTGACGACGCCTGTATATTTTTTATTTTTATTTATTGTTTTATAATTATATTATTGTATTATTTCCCTTCTACGTGACTTTACCGAAAAAAACAAGAATATGAATCCCTGCAGTCACGAAAGCTTTAAATCAAAATGTATATTTGGAGTTTGCATGTTCTTCCCTGTGGTCATGTGGATTTTTCTGCAGGTACTCCGGTTTTTCCCTCCACATTTAGAAACATGCATTTAGAGTATTTGGATGTGATTAAATTCCCACGTGATAAGCCACTTCGTTGAGCTATCATTTGTGGCCACTTCGCTTTTGAAAAAGAGCCTTACCTGGTAAAATAAAAAGTTAGAAGTTAGTTCGATGTACTGTGGAATAGGGATCAATAGTCCACGTGCCCTAAATGCTTCACTTATTGATACGTGAGATCACAAAACTTGAATTGTACCAATAATCTTTAAATCTTCATGAATTGAATTATGCAATAATAAGTACATTGTCACTTAGTGCACTTTTATATGTCTGCATATAGAAACAGGTTATCGGTAAATATTTGCCACCTCTAGTGGAACTGAATTCTGCTGTGGCTCTTGGACTACATATGAACAATAATGTGGTTTTGGAATGACAATAGTACAATGACTAAAGCATATTTTTATGTTATGTGAGCACAAAAAGGAATTCTGTTTATACAAGCTATTTCATAAACAAGAAATCTTCTCAAACTACAGATAAAATGACGTGCAACATATCATACTCTCTAAGTATTATTTACGATGATTTTTAAATGTTTTTCCCGTGAGGTTGACTAATTTGTAGAACTGCCCATCTTGGCTCCAAATCGTGCTGACACGGCGATCGCCTATTCCCCACCGGTTAAATTAAATTCTTTACTTCCCCTCCCCAACGCCCTTCCTCTTCCCCCGCAGAAAATCCCACTCTCCGAGGTGCTGCAGATCGAAGTGGCCCAGAGCTACGCGCTGCCCGGAGCGCACAACACGCCGCACTGCTTCGAGCTGCACACGGAGAGCACCGTCTACTACGTCGGCGAGAAGGACGCGCTCCCGGCCCCCGCTGCCAACGCCGCAGCCAATGCCGCTGCCAACGCCGCAGCCAACGCCGCAGCCGCCAATGCCGCGCAGCAGGGACCGGAGCAAGGGCAGAGCCGGGTGCAGTGGCAGGGGCTTGGCCAGAGCTCCGGGCAGCCGCAGGCGGGGACGGGAGTCGGAGCGGAGGTGGCGCTCGCGTGGGAGATGGCGATCCGCCAGGCCCTCATGCCCGTGACGTCGCAGGCCGGGGTGGCCGGCGCCGCTGGGCACAACCAGCGCAGCGAGAAGAAGAGTGAGCGGCGGGGCGGGGGTGGGGGTGGGGGATGTAGGGGGGGGGGAGTTGAAGGCTGCGTAGTGACAGAACAATACTCGTTAGGGCTACTGCTTAGGTTTTTTAAGTTGTGCTGCAGACTTGTTTTCAGGAGGGTCTGGCAAGAGCATGTTTTGCCAGTTGCTTCTTAAGAAGCGTTTCATGTGTAGGGAAAAGAAAAAACCCACCATGCATTCGAGCCAATAACGTTTAAAGGTCTGCATAGACAGGTTTACGAACCCACCTAAATCAGAATATTCATACCGAGCTGTGAAGCTCTTTTTCACAGATGTCCATTAGGGGCACGGGGTAAGAGCGTTACGCCAACAAGCAGAACAAAAACATGGCAGAGTCCAAGAAAGGTAAACAAATTGCCCAAACACGTGAGAACAATCTCGTGGCCATATTGCAACTCCGTGGACTGGTGAGAGACCTCCTAACTCCACGTCCTAATCCACAGCCTTTGCCTCCCAAAATGTTTGAATTACAGGCACGCTCTGTTTCTCTACCAACTTAGCAACATAGCTGTGGGTTCGACCCCGGCCCTGACGCCCGCTGTATATTTGGAGTTTGCGCGTGTCTCTCTCCCCGTGGTCACATGGATTTTTCGCCGTGCCCTTCGGTTTTTCCCCTCCACATTTAGAAACGTGCGCTTAAGAGTATTTGGCCGCTGTAAATTTCCACGTGGTAAGCCACTTCGTTGAGCTGTCTTTTGTGAATAATAAAAATAAAATAATAGAAATAATAGAAATAAAATGATAAATCACGACGTTTCGGAGGCAACACAAGTCTCCATCATCAGGTGGGACCGTCACAGCTAAATTTACTGTATCAAGTGAGGCAAGATTCCAAGAGACAAGCCCTGTGTTGCCTCCAAAACGTCGTGATTTATAATTTTATTTCTATTATTTCTATTTTATTTTTATTATTTATTTTTTATCTACGTGACTTTACCGAAAAAACCTAATAGTATGAATCCTTGCAGTCACGAAAGCTTCAAATCTAGAACTGTCTTTGGTGACCAGGTCTCTCAAAAAGAGCTATTATAGCTCATTGAGTTGTACCCTGTAAAATAAAAATGTTTGAATAGTTTCAGAAGTACGTTCAAGCCTGACAGGCCTGACTGTGCAATACAGAGACACGTGATTTTATTTACGTGTCTGACAACGAGTGAAGTAATGGCAATTTTTTTGTGTTTTTGACGCAACAGAGGAAGTTTGCGTCAGCTTCTCCATGTCAAACTGTCAGATACAGGAGAACGTGGTGAGTGACGGTGCCACGCTAACTATCGCGTCAGAGTCGGCACGTCTATGTGCATCATGGCGGTGGGGGGGGGGGGGGGGGGGTGGCGGCAACCTCCAATACTTACAGAAGTCCACTTTAAAATATGAATCCACAACAGTCAATCCACTGGCCTTAAAAAAAATGTCTACACGTCAAAAATGATAATTTATTCATGTCAAAAATAATAAGTAGAATACCCACCGTACAAACGATGAACGAATAGTAGTTGGCACCCCGAACTGGATGACCTCCGTTTGTTTTCCGACCATGACTGACGTGACGTCAGTCATCAGACCCAGTCCTGGCCTCCCCTAGGTCGACTCAACCACAAAATGAGTGGCTTTTGTGGTGTGTAAACATTAGCACTGCAGTTCCAAACACGGCTGGGTTTGATGTTTGGCCACACCTGCTCGTGCATTGCCAGCATCCTTTTAGTTTGTTTGTACCTATGTTCAACTTCTTTTACACCATACGTAGCCAACCCTGCTAATCGGAGCTGCTCGCTAAAAGCAGATGCCACTAAAGGCTCTGGGGGGGAGGGGGGTGGGGGGTGTAAAGGCTCTGGGGGGGTGGGGGGTGTTGGGATCTTTGTCTCTGTTGTTATCTATCCGCGTGCCTGTGTCTAACTCTGCTTTGTTGGTGCGCAGGACATTGGCAGCATCTATCAGATTTTCCCAGACGAGGTGCTGGGATCGGGCCAATTTGGCATCGTGTACGGGGGTAAGGCCTCTGCTTTTAGCCCCAAAACACCTCCCCTTTTCTCCACACCGCAGCAGTCAGCTATTGCCTTGTTCCGTTTCGCTTTTTGTTCTATTTAAAGCGGGCGTTGTTGATTTTTAGCGTTGGGGGCGCACTGCTTCGAGCGGTCTTGAAAAAGAGCGCGTTCTTGTCACTTGCTGTGACGGTCACTTTCATTATCGCCGCGGGCAGCCAAGTAACCCCCTCTGTGCGTTCACTTTAGATGAATTACATTTGACCTCCCTTCATTCTTCACTCTTTACATCTCTACTCACCATCATGTTTATATTTTATCTGCTTCATGTTTTACCTGCCGGGTCAGTCAACATCCCCCCCCTCCCCCAACTCTGCGAGTCATCCCAATGTCCATTGTAATTATTGTCACGATCAAACATCCATAATAAAAGTGCCCGTTATTTATAATAAATAATGCACTTATTTATAATAAATAATGTACTTATTTATAATAAATAAGAATTCCCTTTTCTACTCAAAAGAGTCTCAAGATAATTTTTTTTGTTCACAACAGTCCTCCACTGAACATTGGCCCAATTCCATTTTTGGCAACGTGTGTTTGGCTTGCGCGAGGAAACCGGGGTGTCCGGATCGCGCCCCCACCGCATTCCGTACAGACAGATCTATGAATCTATTGCTCTGCTACAGCAGCTGCTATTCCCAGGCAGCCTGCTGTCACCCAAGTAACTAACTAACGAACAGGCCTGAAGCCAACTTACTGAGAGATCCGACAAGATCGGGCATGTTTCAGGGCGATCTCGTCTTGGTCCATCCATGTCACCGTGACCACAACACAAGTCGCGCGTGTTACATCTCATCTGCACACCTTGAGTGTCATCTGCTCGCTCAGTCGCGAGCTCCGAATTCTGGGTGTATGTATGTTGAACTTCTTTTCGCACCGTATGTAGCCAACCGTGCTAATTGGATGTGCGGGGAAAGGACAACTTAATCGGGGGTGCAAGGTTCACCATTGCGACCTGCAACGGTGAACCTGCCGCGTGTGTCGTTTGGCCCGCCGACTGATTTGTTGCCTCAAATCCGCCAGGTAAACACCGCAAGACGGGCCGCGACGTCGCAATCAAGATCATCGACAAGCTTCGCTTCCCGACGAAGGAGGAGAGCCAGTTGAGGAACGAGGTGGCCATCCTGCAGGTGAGGAACGAGGTGGTAGATTAGAAATAAGGTGGCATTAATTCTAGATTTGAAGCTTTCGTGACTGCAAGGATTCATACTCTTAGGCTTTTTCGGTAAAGTCACGTAGGTAAAAAATAAAAATAAAATTAATAGATGTAATAATAGAAATAGAATAATAAATCACGACGTTTCGGAGGCAACACAAGCTTCCGTCTTCAGGTGGAACCGTCACAGCACGATTGCTGTATCAGCTCTCTTTACTTGATAAAGAGAGGGTACTTCAAAATCAACTGAACTGAAACCGAACCCAACTTGATTTGAATAAAATATATATATATATCAACGTCGCGTGTTTTGTTCCGACCGCAACAGAGGCTGCACCACCCGGGCGTGGTGTACCTGCAGAGCATGTTTGAGACGCTGGAGCGCGTCTTCGTGGTCATGGAGAAGCTGCACGGGGACATGCTCGAGATGATCCTGTCGAGCGAGCACGGACGTCTGCCCGAGCGCAACACCAAGTTCCTCGTGTCGCAGGTGTGCCTCGCCGTTGCGCTCGCGTGGAGCTGTCACTCACGCACAAGACAAGAGGCAAAGATCCCCCCCCCCCCCCGTATAGCCTTGACAGACTTTTGGGGCAAGTGCTGTTTTTTGTTGTTGTTGCTGCAAAGTGCCAGGCCCCCCCCCCTTTATGGTTGAACAAATCGCAAGTCTGAGAGTCAACGGTTGCAGAGAACCGTCCCCACGCAACCAGCCATTTATCGGGGGTGGGGAGAAAGAAGGAGAAGGGGTGGGGCGCTGTGCCCCAACTAGAGGGGGCAAATGCTGTTAGCGAGGAGCACCTGTGAAGGCCGGCATGGCACACGAAGGGGTGTGTATGGCCAGCACCACGGCCCTGCCACCTTTGTCTCTTTAGTGGTGATGTTGTTTACACATCGCACCAGGTACTCATTGGAGGCTGAGTCGACTTAGGGGAGGCCCAGGACAGGTTTAGATAACCGACACCGGTGTTGATTGTGAGCGAGAGTCGAGCGCGGGTCTCCTGATTCGTAGCGTAGTGCGTTATCCGCTGCGCCACCGCTTCCCACACACAAATGTGCAGGCACGTGCAAAAAGCAGTTGCTTAATCTGTGTTTTCCTCATGCAGTCTCAGCCTCGCCCAATCCACTGCCCTATTTACCCAACCTGGAAATTATTCTCATTAATGTATAAAGCTGAAGGGTATCATAATGGAATAGAATAATTTTATAACCTATACAATCTCATGGAGCGAATGAATTAAGTTCACCGATAAAAAAGTTGATTGTACAGTGTTCCAATGAAGCTACCATGGATGTCCTTAAAACTTTATCAAGTTTTTTCTGACTCCCACCCCTCGATGTTTTTTTACTAGCCGGATCGATGAGTTGTCGACCGTTTATTTGTTCATTCTGTGCAAAAGATCCTCATTGCGCTGAAGCACCTGCACTCCAAGCACATCGTCCACTGCGACCTGAAGCCGGAGAACGTGCTGCTGGCTTCCCCTGAACCCTTCCCGCAGGTGAGCCATCTCTTCATGCACCCCACCGCCCTCTCACAGCGGCGCACATGGCAACTGGGCCTCATTTGAGCTGGGTGTTGTTGTACACACGTATCATCCTCTTCCTGCTGCTCCTGCTGCTTCTCCTCCTCTTCCTCCTGCTCCTGCTGCTGCTTCTCCTCCTCTTCCTCCTGCTGCTGCTTCTCCTACTCCTTTTCCTCCTGCTCCTCCTCCTCCCCCCTGCTCCTCATTCCGTGCCGGCAGGTGAAGCTCTGCGACTTCGGCTTCGCGCGCATCATCGGCGAGAAGTCGTTCCGCCGCTCCGTGGTGGGCACGCCGGCCTACCTGGCTCCCGAGGTGCTGCGCAGCAAGCAGGGCTACAACCGCTCGCTCGACATGTGGTCGGTGGGCGTCATCGTCTACGTGAGCCTCAGCGGCACCTTCCCCTTCAACGAGGACGAGGACATCAACGAGCAGATCCAGAACGCCGCCTTCATGTACCCGGCCAACCCCTGGCGAGAGACGTCCGTTGACGGTACTTGGATAACGCCGTGCTGTGCCGCTCGTTACGCGGGAGGCCGTGGGTTCCCTCGCCGTGGTCGAGCGGATTTTTCTGCGGGTCCTTAGATTTTTCCTCCACATTTAGAATCAACATCACACGTTTAGGTTATTTGGCAGCTGTACATTTCCACGTGGTAAGGCACTTGGTTGAGGTATCATTTGTACCCGGATCGCTTCTGAAAAAGAGCTGTATAGCTCAGTGGGCCTTACTTGGTAACATCAAAAGTTTACTTTTAGTTCAGTATGCACACGTACCCACCCACGCACGCACGCACGCAACGATAGCAACAATCGCCGTCCGCCACTTCTTTGCATATTCCCAGTATGGGCCACACGAAGTGGCCCAGTCTAGTCTGTATGCATGCATGTTGAACTTCTTTCACACCATACGTAGCCACAGGGTGGCCACGGCGATTCCACGACATCTTACACAGGCGGTGACGCGTGTTCACGCCGCCCGCGTTGATGCGGCGGCCAAGTCCACCGCGCGAGTCGGTGCAGTTTTGACGGGTAGGGTTTAGAAACATAATCAAAATGAAAGCGTACCGCCTCCGGGAGAAACTCATCGCATTGTTTGTTGGCTTCCGCTTTCCCGTTGCAGCCATCGACCTCATCAACAACCTGCTGCAGGTGAAGATGCGCAAGCGCTACAGCGTGGACAAGTCACTCAGCCATCCTTGGCTTCAGGTACGCTGGATGGGGCCTCCGTTCATTCGCCAGCTGCACGCTCCGTAATCCATGCCAGCGAACAGCATCCCTTCCCAGTGTCTAGTTGGGTACAAACAGAGACAAAGATCCCCCCCCCACCCATAGCCTTAACAGACTGTTGGGACAAGTGCTGTTACCGAGCACCTATGAAGGCCAGCACGGCACACGAAGGGGTGGGTGACCAGCACCACGCCCGGCCGCCTTTGTCTCCCCAGTGGCGATGTTTACACAACACCAAGTACTCATTTGAGGCTGAGTTGACCTAGGGGAGGCCCAGGACCGATTCAGATAATCGTCACTGGTGTTGGTCATGAGCGGGAATCGAACTCGGGTCTCTGCTGGGTTCATAGTGCAGTTGTCTAACCACTACACTACACACGCACGTGTGTGACTTCTGACAATTACGTACCATGTGATATCCAGGTGCCATGGCTTACGTCAACTTGTTTGAGGACACCCCTGATCTGAATGTTGAAGTGTGTGCTCCGTGTTAATTGGCACCCACCCTGGCACTTGACAGGATCTACCTCCCCTTGCCTCCATTGGCCAGTTCTGCAGTACACTCCTTGGAGATGTTCCATCTGGCTTACAAGGCACGAACACAGCCAGCCCCTTCGTGGTAGCCTGACATGCTAGAATAATAATGGTACTGAAACCAAATGTCCTTGCCTCTCTTGTCCCTCCGTCTAAACTAGAACTAAACAGTTTTTTATTTGACCAGGTAAGGCCCACTGAGCTACATAGCTCTTTTTCAGAAGCGACCTGGCCACAAATGATAGCTCAACCAAGTGGCTTATCAAGTGGAAATTTATAGCAGCCAAATGGTCTAAACGCGTCTTTCTAAATGCGGAGGGGAAAACCCGAGGACATGAAGAATCCACGGGGAGAGAGACATTCAAACTCCAAATACACAGGCGTCATGGTCGGGATCAAACCCACGACCTCTTGCGTACCAGGCAAGGTAGTTAACATCTCGCCACTGTGGCGCCCCCCCCTCCTCCTCCGACCCCTCAGGATTTCCAAACGTGGCTGGACCTGCGCGAGCTCGAGACAAAGTACGGCGAGCGCTACCTGACGCACGGGAGTGACGACGCGCGCTGGGAGCAGTACGCGCGCGAGCGCCAGCTCGCCTATCCGCAGCACCTCATCCCGGGGCCCAGCCAGGCCGACTCCGACCTCGACGACCCCGACCTCGCGGGCCTCAGCAGCAGGGTCACCGTGCTGTGAGGCGCCCTTCTCAATGTCGCCCTGCCGATTGTCTGACACGGGCACGGATGGGCGGGCAAGCTGTGATCGCCCGACGGATGGGACGATAGACACGGACGGACAGGAGACCGATCAATCGCCAGGTAGCGGATCGGGAGAGGTCTTTTGCGGGTCGCGGACGACCGGTAAGGGCCTGGCTGCCTGCCGTCGAAAGGCAAGGAACCTTCGGCAGAAAACGAAGGATGGCTGAAGACCTCGTGTGTGTGCAGTCCAGCGCTTCGGAGGGGGAGTGGGAGTTGGTTGGTATTGTGTCCTGCAGAATTGTCGTGGACAGTAGACTTGTGGGACTTCCGTTCCCGCTGGGCTGGGTAGGTGGTCAAGAAGATAACAATACCCATCTGTGTGGACCTTGGAGTGCCATCCCTTTGTCGAATGCAATGGTGGTTTTTCTTCTCCGGGTACTCCATTTTTCCTATCCCGCAATACTAAAACACTCCTTAAAAACCAAAAAAAGGAATGAGCCATACATCCTCTATGCTAGTGCCTCCAGATAATGCAGAGGCTGGACACTCGGTGACGCTTCCGTGGATGAGCAAGTGACAATGCGAAATGAAAATTGGGAGTGAGAACGCTCCTCTGCTGCAAGAGGGGGGGGGGGGGGCCGAAGTCACGGTGCGTGCGCACAGTCAGTCCGCGGAGCACACGCGCACTTAATCTGTGCCATTAGGGTAGCAGATCCATGCGGGTCGGAAGCGGAGTCTGCAATGTTCTCGTCTTGTCGTTCAAATGTCTCTTTGCTGTGGTTGCGTTGGCGGAGTTTTGCAGCACCGTCTTTTTAAAAGTGCCCCCTGCGTGATTTGGGCCAACGGCAGATGGGTTTTTTGGGTGCGATGGAAAGATGAGAGGAGTCCGTGTGACCCCGTTTTAGTAAGTCGTTCTTTCATTCGGACTACCCGTTGCATCCGACCGATGTGCAGGGGAGAGACCCCAAAATCGTTCGGGAAAGCCACAGCAACTAAAGAGTGAGAAGGGACCAAAGCTTGAACGGCAGCGTTCGGCGGACACCCAGCGAGTGTGCAGAGAAAGCGGTGCCAAATAATAAAACAAAACTCTGCTACTGTGAAGTCACGATACACTCTGGACCAGGGGTCCCCCCGCAAGCCCTGCGGGCTCCGGTAAGCCGTATTGCGGCTCTCTTTTAAGGGACCTGCTTCGTTGCTGTGACCCCTGCACTCAGCCAAGTACTTGGTGAGGCTGGCGACGACTCTTGTGGCTGGGCATAGCACCGGGCTTGGCACAATGATCGGGCAGAGCGAGCTTCTGCCATCGTCCGTCTTTGCCGTTGAGAGTCGTGACGGAGCAGTGAAGGGCTCTGTGAAGCACGCGTATTCTCACGCTATTTGTCGATGCAATGTATCTGTTACAGGTTTCACGGCATGTTCTTAAAGATATATTTTCCAATTTGTAAAAAAAGAAATACTCAACATCTTCTGATATGTAGTTCTTAACTCATGCACTTGAACTTTTCCCCGATTTCTTTGTTGTTTAACTGTAAAAGTTTAGCTGTGCGGCGGCGTGTGTAGTGGGAGACTGCGGCTGTTCTGATGCGAAAGCAATTAACTGTAAATGAATTAATTTAAGATGCACTCTTTATTTCCACTTAAACTAACGGCTTAATGAGCACAAACCTTTGATCTTAACACAATGCGCGCATATATAAAATACTCCTTAATTACTTTCTTTACTTTAAACTATTTGATAGCTTAACAAACTCTGCATTTGGCTACTGTTTTGCCAAGCTGCGTCTTGTACAAAATAAAAAGGGACTTTGGGACAAGTGGCAACACGTGCATTTTAATTTTTAAAAAAATACTTTTTACATTCCACCGTGCGATGCGGCCTTTTTAGTAACGTGAAGCCGGTGTGAAACAGCGCCGGTTAAACACCTGCCCCCCCCCCCCCGTGAGCGATGTGGTTTCTCTGTGAATGTTTTGTGCCGGTAACTAATTGCTTGCTATCGATCCCCGTGTTAAGTTTGTTACCAAAATTGACGGTGACTACGGTGACTCCGATGATGACGACAGTGTTCGTCATCGACGGGCGATCGTGACGATGGCGGTGGCTACGACGCCCCCTCGCCTAAGCGCGGACGGACGGTGATGACATTGGCAAAGTCTCGACGAGGACTCGGGCCGAGATACTTTAGTGACGATCTCAAGAGCCTGCAGTGCGTTGACAAAACCTGGCACAGTGGTACCTCGGAGATCGAACTTAATTCGTTCGAACACCGATTTGTTCGAACACCGAATCAATTTTCCCCATAAGAATGAATGGAAATAGCTTTAATTGGTTCCCCACCCAAGGATGCTCCTATTATGGGCCATTTTTACACAAAGTTTACAATGTTAAAATACAGTACAGTACATAAAAGCATACAAAAAACAAGAAACACAGTTATAATTAATAGAATAAATGAACATTGAACTTCACTTTACCTGTAGTAAGGAGAGTGGATGGCTTGAGTGGAAGGTGTTGAGGAGGGGAGGAGGAGGAGGTGTCAGTGTTGCTTGGAAGGGGAGTCCCCCTCCATAAAAACGAAACCTTCCTTTTTGGCTTATCACTGCTACTAACCTTTTCAGGAGCCATTGTGTATGGATAAACACAAAAAAAACACTAAAATAAATGAAATTAACGAAAAAGTTAACGGAACGATGTTTTGCGGGTCTGCACTGAGCGAGAGCTACGCGTAAACTGGGTCATTCGCCTTTGTCTCGGTCGACCCTGGCTACGCGTCTCGGCCCAAACTGGTTCTTTCCAGTTGTTCAACCTCCGAATAATTTTTGTTCGATGTCCGGGGCAAAAAATGGTCGAAAATTTAGTTCGATCACCGAATTGTTCGAGTTCGGTGGCGTTCGATCTCCGAGGTTCTACTGTAATTGGCTATAAATAGAAAAAGATGTTATCAAGTTCATTCTCCAGTGTGTGACCTGTGGTCATCCAGGACGGACCGTTTAACGACGCAACGCCCAGATCCACGAACAGGAAGGAGACATTGCAGCGATACACTACTCCGCTGCTCCTGATGCGGTTATCTGGCTTCACCGCCCGAATGTGAAATTCTCGTCGTTGCTCTGCATCTACATCAGCTGTATGAAAGAGGAAGAAGAGACTGCAAATGCATTGAGCAAAGCTGGTAATCGGTTATATATATTTATAATAAAAGATGTATCATGTTCGCCGATTGGCTGATCGGATAATTTTGAGGAGGGTGGGTGGGGGGGGTGAAAATTGCACGCCCCTCACAGCAACGTTTAATAACTAAGACCGTGTGGCTGCTTGGCTTGCTCTAGTGGACCAGATGAAGAGAATGACTCGGATGAAATCCGCAAACTTTTAAATTTCCACCTAAAATTCCACAGGGCTTCACCGACTCGTCCATCGCTAAAACACAAATTGTCGACCCAAGTTGGCGATGGATCGATCCTCACCTCCGAAAATTCGCGACGGTTCACCAAAGAAGCCAAATTTGTTGAGGGGGGTTGGGGGGGGGATGTGCTGCTTGCAAAAAAACCCAGCACCGCACCCGGCGTGAGATCGTTATTGATCTATAGCTATGAACCAAAAAAAAAGTTTTCCTTAATATGGAAAACGGAGGGATATTTTTTTGTTTTGCTTTACATTTTCAAAAGATATGCTTAGTATTACAACAACAAGAAACATAATTTTGAACCAGTTTTATAGAGACGTGCCAAATACTTGTTTCGGTTCAATGTGCGAACAAAAGTTGGTCGGCCTTAGCCATAACTAAATGACCTTTTAAGAAAACATGGGGTGCGGGTGGTTAACGCGTTCCTCGTGGTCGCTGTTCGGTAAAAATGCGAACAATGCTCTCGGAATCCACTTGGGGGCAATGAAGCTTCACGGATTTGCTGCTCTCTCCCTGGCGGCGCGTTTGTCGGGCTGCACAGCGCGTGCTGTTCGGCATGAAGTGCCACGTGCTGGAAGCGGAACGTCGTACACCGTGCCGAACAGCATTGCTGTATAACCCACAAACAGATTCGGAGGGCTATTCAACAAAGATAAAAGATCTCCCCCCCCCCCCCCCCCCCGTATAGGCTTAATCGACTGTTGGGGCGGAAAGTGCTGTTGGCGAGGACTTGTGAAGGCCGGCACGAGAGGGTGGGAAGCCAAAACCACGCCCGACCGCCTTTGTCTCCCTAGTGGCGATGTTTTACACACCGCACCAGGTACTCATTTGAGGCTGAGTCGACCTTACGGGGGCCCAGGACCGGTTCAAATAATCAGGTGTTGGGCTTGAGCGGGAATCGAACTCGGGACGCCGTGTTCGTAAGCGCTAAGCCGCCTTACAACGCAACCACTTAACCGCAATGGTATTTGTGGATTGCGTCTTAACATTTTTTTACTTTTACAAACGTTGTAGGGACCAAAAGTGTCCAAAGCACCGCGTATTCACTGCCCGGCATGGCCGGCTCTTGTTGTTAATTTGTCGCGCGGCGCTGTGGAGGCGAGGCTTTTGGTTTCGCGGCATAGAGATTTGTGAAACTGTCAAACTTGCCAAACGTGAGATGGACAGGAGATGGAAGTACAGCAAGTGGGATTTGTGACACCCTCTCTGCGTACTCGTTTAGGCTTTTTTTTAAAAAAGATAAGTGAATGATAAATCGTGTCGTGCACATTGCACGCGTCTGATGATTGGTAAACATGAATGGCCGCGTTATGGTTGGTCGGCTGGACTGGAATTTGAGAAGCCATGAGATAATGGAATTGTTTACGCTCTTAATCAAACCACAACTATGACATTATAAAGCCTGACATTTTTCGGTGAAATGAGAAGCAATATTAAAAATGTTTGTTTGTTACACACCCCGACTTTACACGCAAACATCGTCTGGTTAAGCCAGGAGATTTAAAAAAAAGATTATTTATATTTGTTTAAACACCACAAATACATAGAGACCGTGGGTAGACATCGTCTCTGTGATCGGCGAATCCGAGCAGAATCATCGCGTGATCCCCAGCCGTGGAACTAGACGGGGGAAAGGAGGGGGGGGGGGGGTAGGAGAATGTTAGTGGTTGGGGGGGAAGTGTGGAAAAGAGTTGTGGGCAGTAACATTTCTGATGGTGGGGCAGGATTAACTGGGGGGAATTATTCGCGCGCGGCGTGATAAGCAGCTCGTTGTGATGTCCCTCTCGTGCCGCGTGTTGAGGAAGCCGTCACCCCACGCCAAGAGCAATGCTGCCTGGAGGGATGGAGCTCGCGTGGTGCTCGATTACTACCCGTCGACCCACCGCCGAGTTTTTTTTGTTGCCAAATGTCAAGTCGGCTGCTTAAAGGCACCTACGCTTACCTGGGAGCTGTGTTGACACACGTGTACATCTATTTATGCAATACTGCTGTTGTGGGAATACATGGCAGGATGATGATCCGTGGTTATTTTTTGTTGTTTAAAGAAAATTAGAATTGTACCTATAAGCTCTTTTAATACCTGTGCAATCTACATGTATAAACCATTGCCAAAAACGACCGTCCATTTTTTTGTTTGTTTGTGCCACCTGCATCTTATTTAGAGTTGTGTTAGTGTAAAAATGTGAGAGTAGTCTTCTTGTCGATTATTGTAATAAAGTGTATGGAATGTGAATCGTGGTCAAAATGGGCAGCCCTCGTGTGTTTTAATCAACGCTCCGTCATCGCAGAAACACCATCGAGTCGAGCTTGTTATCGTTGGGCGCCGCGGTGGCTAGGAAATGTTAACTACCTCGCCTGGTGTACACGAGGTCGTGAGTTCGAGCCAGAGAGACCCTGACGGTCGGTATATTTGGAGTTTGCGTGTCTCTCTCCCCGTGGTCGTGTGGATTTTTCTCCGGGTCTTCCGGGTTTTTACCCTCCACATTTGGAAACGTGTTTAGAGTATTTGGCTGCTATAAATTTCCCACGTGATGATAAGCCGCTTCGTTGAGCTGTCATTACGTGTGGCCAGGTCGCTTCTGAAAAAGAGCTATTTAGCTCCGTGGGCCTTACCTGGTAAAATAAAAAAGTTTAGTTTAGGATGTGGCGATATGTCGCCTAATCCATTGAAACCGATTCTTACGCTCGCATCTGCACGCATTGGACCGCGCGCGTGTGAGAGTCGATTATTGATCCGTTATTCAACATATTCACACGCAATTTGCAAAAAAAACGAGACCGGGGGAAAAGAGAAAAACAAGTATCATCGATGTCCTCGGGATTTCATCCCAGGAACGAACCCCGCTCATCGTTGCAGACGTTTCTGTATCGTCACCTAACGGAGGGAAACTTGGAGTCGTGCGTGCCTTCAACTTTTTAAATCAACGCTCCTACGTGACTTTACCGAAAACACCTAAGAATATTCTTCAACTTTTGTCCACATCTTCTTGGTTCTTTCGGTAAAGTCACGTAGAAGGGAAATAATAAAATAATAAAAATAAAACAATAAAATAAAATTTTCACGACGTTTCGGCCACGTTTCGGCCGCAACGCAAGCAGCCGTCCTCAGGTGAAGGACAGGTCTGTCGGAAAGACAGCGTCAGACGCTGTCGTTTCTTCACCTGAGGGACGGCTGCTTGCGTTGTGGCCGAAACGTCGTGAGAATTGTATTTTATTATGTTTGATTTTTATTATTTTATTATTTCCCTTCTACGTGACTTTACTGAAAGAACCAAGAAGATGAATCCCTGCAGTCACGAAAGCCTTTATATCGAAAATTTGTCCACATTTTATCGAATTTATTTTTCGGAACTCTACATTGTCTCGTTTTGTTGTTGTTCAGACTCTCAGACTTTTTTTTTTTAGAATTCTCCCCATTTTCCAGTGAACTTCTCAGACATGACATTAACCTCTGGCAGCCGTGTAAAACATGACGGCGTTAATAATCCGTCTCTTAAAAAATATTGTCACTCCAGTATTAACATGTTTCTTTTGTATTCCTTCCATGTCAGGCCACATGCTTTGCGATCACCCAAACACTTCCATGACAGACGCGTACCCAGATTTAACTTGGATAAACATGCAGTGATTTTTTTATAATGATAATGATGGTAGTGGTAACAAGAGCGATGATTACTGTTATTGTGTTTCCTCTTCAAATATTTTGTTCCTTTGAACCTGTGGCAGGTAACCATGAAGTGGTATTTTATATTGGGAGGAGAGACGTGATCATTATGAGCGCTGTAATTAACACGGCCACCTTGTGGTGTTCATTATGCACGCAACGGGGGAGCAACCGGTACAATGAGGCTATTGATATGTACGCATTTCTTTCGCACCGTACGTGACCCACCATGCTTAATCGGAGAGCGCAAATAGGGCCATGATGTCAAACAGTTATATTCACGGTGGCACGAAACGCGTCGTAAGTTACGCGTGTCACATTCATTTATTTTGTAATAACGGAGCGTTTGGAAGAAAAAAAACCGACATCGGTAATTCACAGCCCTCGTGTCAATACACCGCCTTAGTCGTTCATGGTGGGGGTAGGGGCTATAACCATACTTCACCACGCGGGCTCTAGTGCGGGATGGTGAGGGCGTACGGGCGGCGATTGTTTTGAGCTTTCCACGACTGACCTCTTTCAACTGCGGCTGGGAATCGAACTCGGGTTGTGGTGTGCCAACCGCTGCACCACCGCTCGTTTAAAAAAAAACCCGTCCCCCTCCCCAATGTAACCTGGGCTGGAAATGGCATTCCGTAACATCTGCCAGCGATGCATTTTAATTCGCGCGGTGTTCCCGTCCGAGTTGACGTACCGTCATTTTGATAACTGCGACGACAGCACGACGCAATAAAAGCGGCAGGAAGATGTTTCGAATGCCCCTTTTAAGCCCCCCGGATTCATATCTCAATGCTGAACATTTCACTTGACGCATTACTACCGGAGTGTTGGGGGGGGGGGGGGATATAGCGAGGACAGATATTTGTATCATTTTTAAACGCCACGTGTGTGTGTGTGTGCATACATTGCTCACTGAGATGATGGATTTCCTCGTCCTCTGCAGATTTGATGCTCGATAAGAGGGGAGGTGGTGGGGGTTGTGTATCCAAAAAAATCCGATACAAATAGCTCTCGTGTTTCAGCTCTCTCACTGGCGGTAGTGCATTGATTGCTGTGATACAGGACGATCTTTTTATAGGCAATGGGACATGGTCAATCCGCTGCTGGATATGGATGCCTCCCCAAAGCCGCTCACCCCACACCCCCCTTACCTATCTTCATGGATTTGACAATCCGCTCGGCACCTTGCCCACGAGACGATCTACACTTGAAATATTGCGATTAACCCGAGGGAGTGCCACGTGTGTTTATTAATTATTAAGAAAATAGCTAAGCAGACGATCTAAACAACTTAGCACGTAGGCTTTCGCGATCAATATCATCCATAGCATGGCTTAGATCGCGTAAGTATAAATTTGTCGTTAAACCCGAATTGGCATGTTCTGTTTACGTGACAAACCTTACTAATTGGCTGTGTCGGGTCGTGGCGGATTTAACGACACATTTACGTGATCTAACCCCCAAAAACAAACCTATATTATGAATATAAACAAAAATTACAAACTATTTGCTTTTATTTGACCAGGTAAGGCCCATTGTGCAATATAGCTATGTTTTCAGGAGCGACCTGACTATTACAAATGATAGCTTAACGAAGTGGCTTATTATGTGGCAATGCATAGCAGCCAAATACTCTAAATGCACGTTTTTAAATGTGGGCCTCCCATAGGTCGACTTGGCCTTAAATGAGTTCCCGCCTTAACGTGGCACTCGGTTGCATAACCTACCCCCACGATAGTCGATTTAGGCTACAAAAAATGCAACATTTTTTGATGAGACTGCTGACAGTGGTGCACAAGCACAGACAACAACAACAACAAACTCAAAACTCATTTCGTCAATAACGCCGTGGCCTTGCAAAGAAAAACAGGGTTGTAATAGGCGACGTTTCGAGCAATAGCCCTTCTTCAGAGCACTTACGTGAGCACTCGAGTGCAGAGCCTGCTGTAAAACATCAGCCCCCGGGGAGACAATGGCAGGCGGGACGTACATTCTGACTACCACCAAGCCCATCGTGCGCTTTGCCGATCTTCCTTCACAGGTGCTCACGAGAATGCACAGCGGCCTTTGTACAAAGTGTGCGCGCGTGTGTGTGTCTGTGTATATCTGAACCGGTCCTGGGCATCCCCTAGGTCGACTCAGCCTGAAATGAGTACTTGGTGCGGTGTGTAAACATCGCCACTGGGGAGACAAAGGCGGCCGGGCGTGGTGCTGGCCACCCACCCCCTCGTGTGCTGTGCCGGCTTTCGTAGGTGTTCGCTAACAGCACTTGCCCCAACAGTCTGTTCAGGCTACACGGGAGATCTTTGTCTTTGTGCAGTGGCTTCAAGATGCCAATCTTTATTGACAAACACGCGGCCGGGAGGGAGGGAGGGAGTGGGCGAGTGGGCGGAGGGGGTGAATTTTTGTGAAAGAGGCGGTGGTGGCTACTACTGACGGACGGGGTGGGGGGGCCTTGCGTGGGATGTAAACAAACGAGGCGGGGTTGTTTGTTTATTTTCCGTCTTTTGTGCGCGCCACGTTTTCACAGGTGCCGTTGCTTGTTTGAATTTCATCCGAGAGCCCTGCGGAGGGGATTGGATCGTTCGCGCGCGGTTAGGTGATGGGGGGGGGGGGCTACGTGGGAAGGTGATAGCGGGGCCAGATGGGGCTCACGCGTTGCGAGGCCTCGACAGGTTCCCACACCTGAGTTTGATATCCGACCACGGTTCGCATTCAAAATCTAAACCAGTAAACGAAGTTTTTTTTACGTTTTTTCCAGGTAAGGCCCGCTGAGGTGCACGGCTCTTTTTAAATCCTTTATATTAAGTTCACTTGCTTGCTTGCTTGCGCGCTTACGACCGTGCAAATCTTTCGGTCGTGTTTTAACCCACTCCCGCGATCCAATCGAGCTGACATTTTGCACACAGACTCGTTGTGCGTGACAATGTATTTTCGTGAAAATTTTTTCCTAAATGTTACACTTTTTAGAATTTTTTTAAATATTTAATTACCAATTGCTTAATGGTGGCAGGCAATCATCTGACCCATAGGTGGCAGCCATATCAAGCCAGAGGACGAGATGACTCTAGCCGCCACGCATATAAAGGATTTATAGTGAAAAACTTTGTTTTTACGGGTTAATTTTTTCAGAAGCGACCACGGGCTATCGCGAATGATAGCTCACCAAAGTTGGCCCTATCATCGCGTGCAAATGTATTGATTAGCCAAATAAATATAAATCTGAAGCCAAACAAATATAAATCTAAAGCCAAATAAATATGAATCTCAAGCCAAATAAATATAAATCTGAAGCCATACAAATATAAATATCAAGCCAAACAAATCTAAATTTCAAGCCAAACAAATATACATCTGAAGCCAAACAAATATAAATCTAAAGCCAAACAAATATAAATCTAATGCCAAACAAATCGAAATCTCAAGCCAAACAAATATAAATATCAAGCCAAACAAATATAAATATAAATCCAAACAAATATAAATCTAAAGCCAAACAAATATGAGTCTAAACGCGCGTTGATACTAAATGCCGCCTTTTTCTCCCCAGTGCTGACGTGTACACACTGCATCA